CTGTTTTTTTAAACATATAAAAAAAAAAAACCAATACGAAAAATTCAAAAATAACGAAGAACAAACAACGAAAATTTATAGCATAATGTACAAAAAAACCAAACAACATATATTTAAAAATTATACATCACGTCGGATTACACCAAAAGTTATTAAACTTAATAACGATACTGATAACACTGAATATGATGGTGATTATGAATACGAATACCTTAAAACTACAACAACGTATTTTACAAAACAAAACCAAGGACAAGAAAAAATTTATAATGACATTATTGATAAAGAATTTAAAAAGAAAGTTATTAAAGCAACACAAGATCTTGAAATACTAAACAGTGACTGCGACAGATTTTTTTTGCAAATTAAACAAAAACTTGATAAAAATGAAAAACTTTTAGATGATTGTTATTATAATAACAACAACAATAATAAAGAAAATTCAGCAAAAATTTATTATAATAATAAGGAAAAAATAATCAACGAGAGTAACGATAATAATATTATTAAGAATATTATTAATGGTGATGATTTTAACGAGAAAAGTAATGATAATAATAAGCATAATAACGAATTACTATTCACAATTTCTCCCATTACAACAACAACTTCCATAAAAATTTGCGACAACACTAACACTTATTCCATCATGAGTAGTAACAATAATAATAACAATGAAAAAAGTGAATTAATTAAAATATCCAAAAAACCGTTGTACACTTTATCCTACAAGATACCATCTCTAACAACACCAACGTCTCCTTCATCATCATTATTAAACGATGATGATTCCGAAAAATTATTTAAAATGGAATTGCCGCCGACAGATAATACAGCGTACAACATATGGTTTTATCGAAGATTTGAGAACGCAAACAGCAAAACAATTCAAATGAACCATATACAAAATGATTTAAATCAAATTTTATCTGACGAATCCTCTTTCTTTAGCGTTCAAATACTCAAAGTCGATGACAGGGATGATGATAAACTTGAAAGCAAAGAAAAAAATTATTTAGAAAAAGTATTTAGCAGTAGTAATAACAGATCACTTTTATTAGAATTAATAAATAATCTTCGATTATTAATAAATTACTTTTTATATGTTGGCAGTGAATCTCATTATCCCAATAACGTCACTGAAAAAACTCCAAATCTTCTCAAACTTTTGGATTTTGTTCTAGAATCATTTAAAAAATATAATACCAACAATAATAATGATGACGATGACGATGATAAAAAAGAGAGTGGAGAAGAGGTGAAGAAAGTATTCAATTATGTTAAAGAGTTGATGCAGGTTGCTTGGTATAATAACAATGTAAGGACAAGAACTGACAGTGACAATCGACGAAAATTTAGAAAAGCTTGGTATATTGTATGGGATGAATTGGA